CTGGCATGGACAAATAGATCAGATTGGACTGCCTGTCTCCAAGCAGTTTCTCTAAAAAACAGGGATAATCTCAATTATCTGAACTGAACTGAGAACCCCAAGGCCAACTAGCTGGCCTGGAGGCCCTGTTGGAGACATTGCCAACCTGTGTCTTCTGACTGATATCAGTCCATTTTTGGGGACACAGTCATTGTAAATAACATTCTTTCTAGGGCTATTGTGTGAGCCCTTAAGACCATAAGACCATATGTCTTTTTTTTTTTTTTTTTTTTTTTTTTTTTTTTTGAGATGGAGTGTTGCTCTGTCGCCCAGGCTGGAGAGCAATAGCGCGATCTTGGCTCAGTGCAACCCCCGCCTGCCGGGTTCAAGCAATTCTTCTGCCTCAGCCTCCTGAGTATTTGAGACTACAGGCACGTGCCACCATGCCCAGCTAATTTTTTGTATTTTTAGTAGAGATGGGGTTTCACCATGCTGGCCAGATTGGTCTCAAACTCCTGATCTCGTGATCCATCCACCTTGGCCTCCCAAAGTGCTGGGATTACAGGCATGAGCCACTGTGCCCGACCAACACTACGTGTCTTATGTCCAAATCATGCGTTATTTTCCCTTCCTATCAAATAAAACACAGTGACTTGAACCACAGGGATGGTTGTAAGAGACCTTTGAAAGTTTAAGCAAACACCACCAGTAGATTATGTAAGCTTTAGACGATTTTGGAGAGAACTCCAAAATCTACACTTAGCTATGAGGATGAGTTTCCTGGAGGGATAATTGACTTATTAGTTATGTGTGCCCTAGACAGTTATTCCTACAATGGTAATCATCAAATTAGAAAAATTGGTAAGAAATTTGCCCCTGAATTTAATCTAAAAGATTAATGATACAATTGCAGTCTTCTTTAGCCTCAGTTCAAGGACTAAGGTTTTTATGGATGATAGAATTGCCCTCAGCTACCTCCTTGTGATCCAAGGAAGAAACTGTGCAATTGCTCATACATCCTACTGTACCTGATCTAATGCCTCCAGCCATGTGGAAAGGTTAATATAGAAACTAAAGGAGAAAGTCACATGGCTTTGTAAGGGAAACCTTCATGGTTTGGGGGATTTATTCAGTTGGTTGCGTTCAGCAGCTGAATACATCGGCAGTGTGGTTGAGGTATATACTGTAGATTGGTCCATCCTTCTGCTTTGAGTCCTGTTGATAGTAACCTTAAGTAAAGACATGTATGAGACAAAGTGGATGAGTTTGTTTCCAGCCTCTGTTGGTTAGATTTATTAAAGTGATTGATGGCGTATTTATGGGAAAATTAGAGAAAAGATGATGTCAAAACAAGCTGTGGCTATTGTTGATGACCATTCTCAGTGGATTCTGCTATCAGTATAAACAAAAGAGAAAGAATATGAAGCAAACAGATAAACAGAAAACTACGGAAGAAATAATTGCTGAAGAGGTGTGGTGGCTCATGCCTGTAGTCCCAGCACTTTGGTAGGCCAAGGCGGGCAGATCACTGGAGGTCAGGAGTTTGATACCAGCCTGGACAACATGGGGAAACTCCATCTCTACTAAAAATACAAAAATTAGCTGGATGTGGTGATGCATGCCTGTAATTCCAGCTACTTGGGAGGCTGAGGCAGGATAATCATTTCAACTTGGGAGGCAGAGGTTGCAGTGAGCAGAGATCACACCACTGCACTCCAGCCTGGGTGACAGAGTGAGACTCCATCTCAAAAAAAAAAAAAAGAAAGAAAGAAAACAAGCAAGCAAGTGAGAAAGAAAAAGAAAGAAAGAAAAGAAAAGAAAAGAAAAGAAAAGAAAAGAAAAAGAGAAAGAAGAAAAGAAAAGAAAAAAGAAAAGAAAAAGAAAGAAAGAATTAATTTCTGGAAAAAAAACCCATAAACTTACACATTCAAGAAGCTCAGGGTTCCCACAGGATAAATGCTAAAATAAACAAGGATAGATGCTATAATAAACAAACACCAAAACAAAGCCCCAAATCCCAAAGTTATTCAAAAGTATCATAACCAAGCTTCTGAAAACTAAAAACAAAAGAAAAGATTCTAATAGTAGACAGAGAAAAATGGAACAATGATCCCAATGATTGCAGATTTCTCATTAAGAAACATGAAGGCTAAAAGGAAGTGGAATAGCATTTGAGAATGCTGAAAGAATATTTAGTCCAGGATTCTATATCCAGTGACTTATCCTTTAGGCATGAAGGTTAAATAAAGACATTCTCAGATGAAGGGAAACTAACATCATACTTATTCATAAAAGGCTGTTTTCCCCCTGCCACCAGGAACAAAGTAAGCATGGCCACTCTCACCACTGCTACTTAATATTGTACTGTAATTCTATCTAGTACAATAAATAAATAAAGAGTTTGGAAAGGAAAAAATAAAACCATTCATATTCACAGATGACATGATCGTCTACCTGGAAAATTCCATGGAATCTACAAAAAAAATTTTTAGAAATAATAAGTAAGTTTAATAGGGTTGAAGGATCCAAGGTCACATGAAAATAACATTTCTTTATACTAGCATTAAAAATTGGAAATAAATTTAAAAATATAATAACCTCAAGAAATAAAATATCGAGGTATAAATTTAACAAAGCAGGTATAAAATCTGTGTTCTGGAAATTATAAAACCTGATGAAATAAATGTTTTGAAATGAAAGAAGACCTAAATAAATAAAGATACATGTAGTTTCCATGAATTGGAAAAAATCATTACAGTTAAGATACTATTCTCCCTAAATTGATCCATAGATTTAATGCAATTTCAATCAATTTCCAAGCAGGAATTTTGTAGATACAGAAAAACTTGTTCTAAAATGTGTATAGAAAGGCAAAAAGATTAGAATAGCCAAACAGTTTTGAAAAAGAAGAGCAAATTTGGGAGACTCATACCATCTGACTTGAAGAATTACTCTAAAGTTATAGTAATCAAGAAAGTGTGGTATTGTCAAAGGAATAGACAAAGCAATGAACTAAATCTTTGTGTTCCCCCAAAACTCATATGTTGATATTCCAACCCCAATATGATGGTATTAGGAGATTGGGCATTTGAGGTGAAATTAGGTCATGAGGGTAAAGCCCTCATGATTGGGATTAGTACCTTATAAAATGAACCTCAGAGAACTCTCTCAGCCTTTTCCACCATGTGATATTACAAGGAGAAAACAGCAGTTTGCAACCCAGAATAAGGCGTTCACTAGAACCTAATCACACTGGCACACTGATTTCAAACATCCAGCCTTCAGAAATGCAAGAAACAAATTTCTGTTGTTTATAAGCCACTCAATCTATGGTACTTTGTTATAGTATCCTGTACTGACTGAAATATAGGCCTAGATCAATGGAACATATTAGAATGTCCAGAAAAATGGTCCAAACAAATATAGCTAATTGATTTTCAAAAACAGCACAAAGCATGAAGAATAAACTTTTTCTGTGTCTTTTATTTGGGTCTTTTCCATAAATGGTTTGATATTGGAACAATTTAACATCCATATGCAAAAAATAAAAAAAACCACCGTGAATTAAACCTCATATCTTATACCAAAATTAACTCAAAATGGACCGTAGCTCCAAGATGTAAAATATAATATACAAAACTTTAGAAGAAAACATAAAAGAAAATCTTTGTGACCTTTAGGCAGAGAGTTTTCAAATTTAATACCAAAAGCATAATCTATAACACACACACACAAATTAGAATTTATCAAAATTTAAAACTTTTCCTCAATGAAAGAACTGCTAAAAGAATATAAAGACAAACTATAAATGGGGAAAAAAGACAAATGTTGCAAATCATATGTTCAAAAACTGTCGTGTATCCAGAATGTATAAAGAAGTCTCAAAACTCAACAGTAAGGAACAAACAACCCAATAAAAATAAGCAAAATATTTTAATAAACACTTTGCCAGAGAATAAATATGGAAGTCAAATAAACTTAGGAAAAATTGTCAGCAATAGCCATTATAGAAATGTAAAGTAACACCACAATGAAATACCACTACATAGAATGGCTACAAAACAACTGATAATACCAAGTGCTGATGAAGATTCAGAACAACTGCAACTCTCTTGCATTGCTCCTGGGAATGCAAAATGGTACAGCCATTTTGGAAAGCAGTTTGGCAGTGTCTTATAAAGCTGAATGTACACTTTTCGTGTAACTAACAATCCTCGTTTTAGGTATTTACCCTAGATAAATAAAATTTATGTTTACACAAAAGCCTACACAAGAGTACTTATAGCAGTTATATTTATAATTGCCAAGCGCTAGAAATCCAAATGTCCTCCAGCAGGTGAATGCATAAGCCAGGAGTGGTACATTCCTACAATGGACTGTTACTCAGCTATGAAAAAGAATGAACTGCTAATACACACATTGACAGATAAATCTCAAAATCTCAGAGGCATTTGCTAAGTGAAGAAAGCCAGTCTCAAAAGGTTATATGCTGTGTTTCCACTTACATGACATTTTGCAAAGGCAAAGCTAGCAGAAGAGACCAGATTAGTGGTTGCTGGGGGCTACAAAAGGGAGATAGGAATGACTACAAAGGAGGATCACAAGGGAGTTTTTTTGGTGAATAACATTCTGCATAGTTTTAGTATAAATGAATTTTATCATAATCTACTCTCCTGAATATTACCCATAAAATATACCATATATGATGAGAGAAAATGAGTATATGTGTCTGAGAAATAGGAATAGCTTCCATGAGTGTTAAAAATAATCCAAAATAATCATTTATTTATTATATGTATACATTAATATGTACATTTTATATATTTATGCTCCCAAATTATACTGGACTTCATGTAATGATGAATTTGGTTTTAGTTCCTGAGTTTGTTTTGGATGAGTGTTGCAGTGGGGAGCAGGGGAGGTGTGAGCTTGGGGTGGTGTTGAAGGCAGTGACTGGGATATTTTAAGCTCAGGGTCATGGTAATACATGTTCATGGTAATACATGTCTCTGATTTTTTAGACACCCCATCACAGAGGGTACAGTTTATTCTTGGAACCGAGGATGATGACGAGGAACACATTCCTCATGACCTTTTCACAGAACTGGATGAGATTTGTTGGCGTGAAGGTGAGGATGCTGAGTGGCGAGAAACAGCCAGGTGAGGATTTTTGTTAAAGGGTGAAGGCATACTAAATAATTTTCATGTTACTAGAAAAAGAGTTTTCTAACACAACGATTTTGCAAACATCCACGATTGCTGCTGATTTTAGAAGTTGCTCATCTAGCCTGAGCATATCCTATAACGGGATATGGGTCAGAAAGAAATCTGAAGGCAGTAATTACAGTAAACGGTATGCAGAGCCAGCAACAGCTGCAGTCTTAAAGATAAACAGTAACATAATTTGTGTGTCATCAACGAAACAAAAGAAATCTAAAAGTAGTTTATTTCTGTTTTTTCAGCTGCTGGCTTGCACCTAAATTTATGATATTATATGATAACTTGAAAGTGGGCTTTTTTTAAAAGAAGAAAGGGCAAATATCATAAGATGCTTTATGTATAGTCCTGGATTTCATGTGCTCTTTCATGAGAATAAAAATAATTTGTAATATATTTCTAGGATATGCATACATTTAAGTATAGTGGTTTTTAAAAATATCTTTTAAAATCACTTTTTCTATCATTTCTAATTAAGATTTTTACATTGCTATATCATTGATAGAGTTCTGTAAAGTTGGAATTAAATTTTGTGTTTACTTTTTGTTCATTCTTTCTGATTTGCTCAGTTAACAAACATTTATAGAGTGTCCATAATGTGCCAGGTGCAATGGATATGGCACAACAACAAAAATCTTAGATCTTGCCTTTAGGGATCTTGCAGTCTAATTTAGACAAGAACGCAAAATTGTAAATGCTGTAAAATGAATGCTACAATGCAGGTATGCACAAGAAAATGTGGGCACACCCAGGGTTGTCATTTACCCACTGTTTCACAAATTTTAATGTGACTACAAATCACCTGGAGTGTTGTTTAAAATGTAGACTTAGTAGGCCTCAGGCATAGAGTCAGATCATGAGGATGTTGTGCAAAATGTTTTGGGTTTGAGAACCACACTTTGAGTAGCAGTTATCTAAACCACAAGGTGAGAGAGAGGATCAGGGTAGCTTCCCTGGAGGAGGCGATGCTTGAGCTGGCTCTTGTGAGTTGGGTTGGAGTTAGCTAGGCGGAAAAGCAGAGGGGACAGTATTCTAGGCAGAGATAGCAGGATGTGCTTAAACACATCATTGACACCGGTTTAGTGGTTTTGTTTTTGTTTTTGTTTTTGTCTGAGACAGAGTCTCGCTCTGTCCCGCAGGCTGGAGTGCAGTGGTGAGATAGCGGCTCACTGTAACCTCCGCCTCCCTGGTTCACGCAATTCTCCTGCCCCAGCCTCCCTAGTAGCTGGGAACACAGGCGTCTGCCACCACGCCCAGCTAATTTTTGTATTTTTAGTAGAGATGGAGTTTCACCCTGTTGGCCAGGCTGGTCTCGAACTCCTGACCTCAAGTGATCTACCCACCTCAGCCTCTCAAAGTGCTGGGATTGCAGGTGTGAGCCACCATCCCCCTGCCAACACAGGTTTTATTGTTTTGTTAGGCTATCTTTTCCATCATAGGGCAGCTTTATTGTTAGAAAATCTTTATCTTAAGCATATTTTTTACTGGTCCTCGGATTGCAATTGCTGTCTGAAAACCACAGAAATTCCACTGGATCATGTTAAACTCGTAGTTGCATTTATTCATTGACTTTACTCAGACAGTGTAGAATTCAATTCTCAATTATGAAAATGAATCTTGTGAATAACACTGGCCCAATTATTTCTTCTTTAACATATTTTCAGTGGTCTTTACGGCTCTCCTTTATTTAAAAACACTAAAAACAAGACAATCAAAATGGCTACCACCTAGTTTATCCTTATTAACGTTTTAAAATAAATAAAACTAATAACTGCCAGTATTTAAAATTCACAAGGTATAGCATGGCAGAAAAGTAAAAGTACTTCTCTACGCTTATTTGCAATATCTCTTTTCAAAAGTAATCACTGTTAATCTTTTTTGTGCATCTTTCCCCCCAAATTTAATGCCTAAACCTGCATGTAAATATATGCCCTTTTAAATTTACACAATAGGGATTATACAATATACAGTGTTCATATCTTATCTTTTCCACTTAATATATTTGGAACATTTTCCATACCAGCAATTCAAATTTACATCATCTATTTGATGATTGCATTGCATTCAATTATATGGACGAACTTTCCTTTATTTATTTATTAGCTAGTCTTGATAGACATTTAGGTTGTTTATATTTTCCCATAAAAACTGCTGCAATGATTGTTCATACAAATATTTTGTCATTATTTTGTAGATGTTTCTATAAAGTGAATTTCTAACAATGGGAACGTATGTAGCAAAGAGAGCAGACATTTTTTTACTTTGATAAATACTGTAAACTTACCTTCACAAAATGTTTTTGTAATTTACACTTATATCAACAGTGTATGAGAGTGCTTATTTTTTTCCTCCACATCCTTTCACAGTAAATTATCAAACTGCTTAAAATGTCTTTTCTAGTTTTATAAATAAAACATAAACCTCATTGTTTTAATTTGATTATTCAAATTATTAGTGAGGTTCAATATCTTTTCATATGTTTCTATTTTTTTCATGTGAACGGACTATTCATTTCCTTTATCCGTTTTGTATCAAATCATTCATTATTTTCTTTATTTGCCTTTTTGAACACTTTAAATTGGTGGCATGTTATTCTGTATGAACTAATCTTTTTAATAAAAAAATTTACTTAAGTTTCCTCATAATGTTTTGTATTGTAATATTTTAAATATAGACTTAAATTTAAAATAGTTTTATATAACCTGGTATGTATTAAGATGAAGAGACTTCTACCTTACTTTTTGTCCCAACTGCATCAAAAACTACCTGGGAGTTTTAGAAATATGTAATATATGTGCTCATCTTCTTGGTGACAGAAAAGGAATATATGATCATCTTTTCCACAAATTAGTGATATAACTTGCTCTTTTGTGATTTTGATAAGGAAGTTAAAGTGCCTCCCTCCCTGTTTAAGACCAGAAGCATCTGTCTACTATGAGTTACAAGGAACAGATGTTCCTGGATGACTTGAAGGAAGGAGATCTGGTGATTGTGGTAACTAGATACTTCTAGTTAGTTAGAGTCTTTTTAATCAACTGCTAAGAAGTAATTTTTTGAAGCATTTCTTTTAGAATATGCTTTATCCTCATGCTACATAATAGAGCTGAAAAATAAGATTGGAATATATATTTTGGCAAGAGAAACTCCCTTATTCTTATAGTGGTTGGTGATTTTTCATCTTACAGATCAAATAGTGATCCATTCATTTTAACCAATAACTTCTTGTAACTTGCCCACTCTCATAAAGCTAGGAGATTGCAGAAGTGATACTAGAATGTAGCACTCTCACTTTGCTACAGTTGAGCAAGTAGGTTTTTGTTATAATCTAATGGATTAACTCAATAACATGTTTGTCGTAAACCACCAAAATATATTGCTGTTGATTTATAAAGAATAAAAAAGATAATCCAGTTAATTATTCACATTCTCTAATATTATTAGATGGACCTATGTTCGTAGTCAAGCTTCTAGAATCTAATGCATGGTATAGCTGTTTGAGCTTCAGAGAGACATCTGGTGAGCAATGGAAATAATAACAGATATTGAAGGGGAGGGTAGATGAATTTTTAACTGAGACACAATGCTTCAGGGAAAAGCAGAATATATTTATTGAGGATTTTGAAAAGTAACAGGTTTTAAAGTGGCAGAAGTAATTTTGTTCTGATTGCCCTAGTTCATCTAAAAAAGCTAATTTTTGTTAATCCATGACTCCATCAGATTTTTCAAATGCAATTTAATTCTAGTAAATCATTAGAATCACCATTTAAAGCACTTCTTTCTTTTGATTAGTATTCCATATGGGATTAATAATTTTCTACCCTCACAGCAGAAATAAAAAGGATATTTTATCAGCACGTTGCACCTGTCACATATCGCATCTTGCATAATTTATGCCCACTGTCATTGCCAAGTAAAACTTAAGCAAAGTTTTAGATTTTGAAGCTAAATTTTTGAATCATAATTATTTAATAAATGTTTGTAAAAACCAGCTGTTCACTTTTAAAAACCCTAAAAGAAGCCATATGAAGAGACTAATGAAATCAACACAATTACAATGTCCTGCTTATAAATAACATGTAATGTTATTAATAGAAAAGTGAGCAAAGCTACCACAGCTGTGCAATTGTGGTGACAACATGTTTGACTGACTGTAGTTGCCCTTTATAAAAGCTTCCCACAAATGAGCTCAGAAGAGGCAAAGCAGGGGGTAGCAGTTAGGCTTCTGGTACATACGTGGCAACATAGAAAAGGATTATTACATCAAAACAATTTTATTGATGCTGTTAAGGCATTTGATATTCAAAATTAGTAATGGTTTAAGTCATCTGGATTTTTTAGTGGAAAATAATATGGATTAAGAACAGGTGTGAAAATAATACAGATTAAGAACAGTTAATGTCTATAAACACTAAGTTTGGATGTATTTCATTTCCCCTTAAGATGACTATAGGTATTCTTTGATTACATGTTATTCTCTAGCTCCACCCTAGCCATGTCCCCCAACTATCCTAAAAGAGGATGTTTTTTCTTGAGACATCCATTATTTCCCCGAAGGCTATAATTTTGGATGATATAGTAACTCCTTTTGGATGATAGACTTACTCTTTTTTGTTTGGGTAGAATGAGAGAATTAAAAATCTTAGAAAAGTTAAACTGAGTTAGTGAGAATAGAACACCAGAAAGAGTTAAATTCTCTAGAAAAAGCCTTCTCTGGAAGCACCTAATTGACAGAATAATTTTATTCTGTATATTTTAATATGAGTATTATAGAGGAGATTATAATAAACTTAATCCTCAAAGAATTCGTGAAACATCTATTTAATGTTGCTTATTGGAAAGAGACTCCAGTGTGCTAATCTTGGATGAAACAGATCCAGACATACTGAAGGAAATGAAAATAATCTCAGGGTTTAAATCCTCCCTTCTCCCCCCACAGAAGAGGT